GGAACCCTTGGAGCCCACTGCACTGGTCAGCCTGAAGCAGAATAAATGTATATTTATCACTCTGTTAAGGACTGGAATAACTATCACCAAAAATACAGCAATAAATTCTGTTTAGAGGACTTATTGGACCAAGTGCTCCCAATCCCTAAAGTGGATTCTCTCAGTATATCATGCTACTGAGCATCTTAAGAATAGATGTCTTAACCAATTGCAGTATTTCCATGGAAATACCATAGGTAGCTCTGCGCGGTCAGATGGAACACTCAAATTTCTCCATTATCAACTCAATGCATAATTCAGCACCCGAGAGGGGTGGGAGGTAACATGTGGATCCTAGGCCCTTATTAGGCATCTCAGAACCATTTCACTGATACATTTCCAAGTACCTTTTACAATCCTGCTTCACTCCTATCAAGTGTGGAGTTTGGTCTTCCCAGCCTGGCTACCAATTGGCCATTTATAATTAATCTCTAACTGCACAACCCGGGTGTGGCTTCCCTGTGGTCAAAAGTCCTTCTCTGTCTCTTAGGTCTAGTGTTCTGCCACTTCATACATGTATATGATATGCAGTGACAGTTGCTTTTTGGGGCAGATAATACAGTATCAGGTGGCCCTTGCTTTGCTGAGCCCCAAACATAATCACAGCAGCACTTGACCTCACAAAAAGGGTTTTTGTTCTTCTAAAGACTTTCACCCCAAACCCAGAGTTTAACTGTATTGTCCATGGTGTGTTATTTTAGGAGAAAAGTCTGTCTTTTTGCTTACCATTTTACGAATTCTGCTGAGGACAGTGTCTATAATCTCCTTTCCGATGGTGTAGTGGCCACGGGCATAGTTGTTGGCAGCATCTTCCTTGCCACTGATGAGCTGCTCTGGGTGGAAGAGCGCATGGTAGGTCCCAGTCCTGATCTCATCTACGTAAAGAGAAGTCATGGGGAACAGCACACGGTTACAGGTTTTAGACATTAGTGTGACAGAGTAAAACATACAGCAAGTTTACCAGGAGCCCATGTGAGATGACAGTCATGCCATGGTTAGTTCAGACTGGCAATAAGGGAAGGGATAAGAATAACCCTGCCCAGACTAATTTGTCAAGGTCCTACTTCACCCTCTCCATCTTCACCCAGCAGCCACTTTGAGATCCTAATATAAATTTGGCTTAAAGAGTTAGGACACTGCCTGTGTTTCTAACACTATTGTAGGGTTATAGTTACCACACACAGCTTGTGTTACTGCTTGTTACAAAGCATCTTGAGGTTGCTGGAAGCACTACCTCCATCATCTGGTCTACAGCACGCTGAAGAGGAGACAGAGTGCCTCCAGTGTTGACATTTCTGCTGGTTGTGTCCGTCCCAGCTTCAGGCACCTTATGAAGACAGACATTAGGAGCACTTTCTCTTGGCTCCATGCAGTCAATGAGGTTGGAGACAACTCCAGAGGGTGCTTAAACCCACTCAGTCTCAATATTGGATACATTTCATATTCTACTGGCTCTCTCACTAGGTTCCCAATTTAGTGCCTTAAGTTTCCTAAAAATTAAGAGGAGCCAAAACAAAGTCTCCATTCCTTTCATTAGATTAAATGAGTCACACATCCTAGATGGCAAGATAGGAGCAAGCACTCAGGAGACACCTAGAAGGCAGAAGCAGGTAGGTGGATGCAAGTGGTTAGGAGTCATTTCCACCAGTTCTTTGAGCAAAAAAATAATTTGTTTTCTAGGAAGGTACTCTAAATCAAAGTGGCACAGTTGAGTCAAACACCCAGAGATCACTAAAGGAGCTGAAGCTGGAAGGGGAAGTGGAAAGTGTGCAGTAGCAAGGCACCCAGTTTCCAGAGAACTATGAAATGTGTAGCACCCCTCCGCCCAAAGGTGCTTCATGGGTAGCATTAAAACCAGATGTGCCACATCAGGTCATAGGATGGAGCAATTCAGTTTGGAGCCATTGAGGTTAATAAACCCACACCGCTTTACAACTGCTGAGGATTCTGCTGAAGCAGCAGGTCTCTTAAAACGAGGGATAAACTAAAGACCAGTCCATGTAGTAAGAGTAATGGGTTTGTCACTCCCAGGTCCAATTGGAAATGCAAACTCTGTCTCCTTATGATGATGGAGACATTTTACTAGGGCAGATGAGTGAAAGCTGCTGGGCAGCAACATGAATCCCCAGTAAGAAGTGTGAGGATTCACAGTTAAAAGATGCCACAACATCCAACAAGCCCCATTATTACCAATGACAGTGGGCTCCAAGTCTATGAACACTGCCCGGGGTACGTGCTTCCCAGATGCCGTCTCACAGAAGAAGGTCTCAAAAGAAGAATCCACTTGTTCGGACTTTGGCTCCACAGGTTTCGCCTGCTTGGGGCCAGGAATGGTCCCGTCCGCCTGGATCCCGTGCTCAAGGCAGTACAGCTCCCAGCAGGCATTGCCCATCTGCACGCCAGCCTGTCCAATGTGGATGGAAATGCACTCCCTCTGGAAGGGGAAATGGCTTGTTAAGGTGATTTTTAGACATCCTGTGACTTAGCACTAACCCCCGCAGATCTTTTTTGAGCTGTTTGCTACTGCAGATGATTAGGGAAACAGGCGGCTTCCGCCCACTGCCGAAAGTTGGAGTGAGTATCAAGCCATGATCAGCTGGGCAGCTGGACACAGCCGAGCCACACATGTAGCATCCCTAGGAAGGGCTCTCCTAGCCCAGGGGAGGAGGAAGGAAGGAGATGGGCTTCATGCTGAGGCAGGAAGGAACTGAGACATGCTGGCTCCTTGCTTAGTGCTCAACTGGCCCTACCATGGAGCAGAGCAGCTGTCAATCCCCCAGGTCCCAGAGCAGTGGGGCATCACAGACAACAGCTCCAGGCTCCCTGAGCTAAAACAGCTCTGCACGAAGCAGGGAAAAACCAAGCTTGGGAAACACACAGCCAAGCTGGGAGTCATAACAGGAAACAAGGCTGGAAGAAACCAGCAGTCACCTGGGGCCAGAATAAGGACAGGCTGACACCTGGGGAGAGGCTCAGACTCCTGATTTAACCAGGTCACCCTCCAGGAGCCTCTACCTACCTCCAGGGCAGTATTGGAGGTACTGGCATCTTCTGGAGACTCTCTGGGGACATTTGATGGTTGTGTGCTTCCCTGGGTAATTGGCCTCTACTGTTTCCACCACCCCAAGATCAAAGCACTGCTGCAGCGATGACAGAGGCTCATGTCCCTGCTCCCAAGCAGAGACTCCCAATTACCACCATGCATGGCATGGAGCAGGCCTTCTTCCCAAGGGATATCACCATGAAAGGAGCTGGTGATCCCACCTGGGGATGGCAGGCAGTGCAGCTGATCCCATTATTTGTAGCATTGATGGGCAGCTTGGTTCAGGTCTCACCTCATCTCACACCATCACCCCCAGTCCTACCCAGAGCTGGGGGTCTCCACAGGTGAGCCCAGCTCCTCCGGTCCAAGTAGCCCACCTTGGGCAGCACATGACAAATGCCACCAAGAGCCCAGTTGTCTCAGGGGTGGGAGGACATGCAGTCCTTGCACACCCCTATGCCTGGCCATCCTGCCAGAGGGACTGTCCCTTAAAAATCACTACCCTTTAAGTAACACTTGACAGTCCTGGGCATCAACCACTTGCAGCAGTAGCCATCAGGGGAAGGATGCAATGCAACTTCACCCCTCAGTCTCCAAGTATGGATGTGCCAAGATGTTTCTCAGCCCTCGAGCAACTTCAGTGGCCACCACATGCCCAGGTCACCCACCATAAAGCTGGACACCAACTGGATGAATGCTCCTTTTATCACAGAGGGACACCAACCCCTTTACCCACAGCTGGCTAAAACCGCAGCCTCTGGGCCACGACCACTTCTTCTGGGTGAGGAGGCAGTGTTTCAGTCCTCCCTCTCCGAGCTGATATTTGCACTATGTGGGAAATGCCGACTGCCATTTGCCCATCCCTCTGAGCAAGATGGTTGCAATAGCTCCTCGCCACAGTTTGCAAGGGTCAGCGCCACAGCCGCTTCGCCAGCCCTAGCTGGGACAGCTGCTTTGCTCACTATCCTCTCCCAGCTCCCTGGTCGCAGCACCTGCTTCAAGGGAGCGCTGGTATTTTCAGCCCAGAGCACAGGGAATGAGAACAAAGAAAACAAAAAAAAGAAAAACTTAAATTAAAAAAAAAAAGGACCTGCTGGAAGGCAGGAAGTGCAGCTTTTTTCTGCAGGTTATTTTTCAGCCCCTCAAATAAGCCAGAAAGGGTTTTATTTGAGATCCCTGATCTTCCATATTTGCATCAAGATGAGTTGCATTTTACAGACTCTGGCTATAGGCAGCCTATTGTTGTCCAGCTGATTTTCCCATTGGAAATACCATGTAAGTGTTTAACTGTTTTACAGCCAAAACAGACTCTAAAGTCAGCAGATAAAAGGAAAAAGAGTTCAAAAGCTCGCTCCTAGGAGTTACTTTGAAGTTTTCTTCCGTTTGCAACATGCAAAGGGACAACACCAGATTTTCCAACAAGTTACTCTTTTGCATTCACAAGAAGGTGACAGTTGTGTTACTCTTTACAAGGAGTTTTAGCTACATCAGCCAGCACTGTTCAGGGTTCCAGCTTTTTTAGTAACCAGATTAGTCCACTTCAGTTTCACAGCCACAAACTCTTTAAAGATTCAATTAAGAAGCTAGAAGGAAGAGGGACTTTAATAATTTAATATCTAATCCCAAGGGTTTGTAGCAGACAAAGGCAACATGGCAGCTCACTCCCAAGGAAAAAAAATTCCTAAAGGTCTCTGCAAGTTGCACTAGCTCCTTATGGCACTGCAAGAGTTGAAGTGTTAAACCTCAGGAAAAGGGCCAGCAGTGTCAAAATTTAAAGTTTAGTCTACCACATAGTTGTGTGTTGAGATTTGCCAATTCCTAAAAAAAAAAAGTAAAACCCAACTTTCATTAAAGAGGCAAAAACTTCGCAACTCTACAGACCCCTCCTCAGGAGCTGCAAACTCAAAGTGAAAAGCAGCAGGAGGCCACCTAAATAGCTCTTCTCCAACCAAGTCCCTCACTTTTCCCTTATAAGGAGCAAACATTGAATCAATAAACCACAAGGTAATCAGAAATTAAACAAAGCTGTTTGGAATTAACATCCCCGAGAGAAAGGGGAGGAAAAGAGCAAGCAAGCTGTTTAGCTCAGAACACTTGGAAAACATACAATCTATATTTTAAGTTCAGACAAATACAAGGCATGCTCTTACCATGATGAGACTGGAGGCTTGCTAAGATCTAAGCAAAACAGCTGCTGCCCCTGCCTCTCCCTGCAACTTTATAGCCCAGGAAGGCTTGACTCCACCTGAATATAAAGAAGCATTCTGCTAGCTTAAAGGAGCAGAGCTCCTTTTCCTTTGCATCCCTAGAAATAGCAAGGCATGAAATGATCTATCAGTGTCTAGCTGGTGTGGTTTGTGTGATTAAACAGCCCCGGGTACAGTGCAATGTGAACTTTTTGGTGGTTTGTTTTTTTTCCAAGAGTCTCAGCTGAGGGGTGGGGGAGGGAAGAAAAAAAAAAAAAGGTAGATGCTAAAGTTTGGGTTTAGCTGAAAAGAAGGAAGCTCTGGGGAAGCTTGTGTGCCCCCATATGATTCACTTTAACCAACAGAAACAACCTTCCTGTTATCATTATTCAGAGCACTGCCACTGATATGGTGTATCTTACCTATTTTTAGACATAATCCCGCAATTTTTGGTCTTTGTTCCGTATCCCCACTGACCTCCGCAGGAGTCTGCTGACTTTGGCACCTCTGGGACATTCAGGTGCAGGCTCAGACCCACCATTTGCCTTACCTGCTGTCTGTTACGAGTTCATTTTCCCCTCCTAGAGCTGACCTAAAAATGCTGAGCCAGTTTTGGCCCCATCCTGTCAATGGGTACATACATCTTTAAGACTGCTCTGGATCTGCCCTTAAGTCTCAGTAGTGCCTGTGTAGTTATTAGCAGCAGGTAGACAAGAGTGGTTAGTGGTAACTTGTTCACTAATTCTCTTATTTATCCTTTCATTGTCCCGTTAAAAGGTTCCCAACCTCCTTTGGTTCAGCCATAGTTGCAACAGGTTGACAGCTCCAGTGTTGGGGGAGCATAGTTGCAACAGGTTGACAGCTCCGGTCAAGGAGCTGGGGGACACAACCATGTCACAGACTGTATCAGCACAAGGACAGCCAGGAAGTCAAGGACAGGGAATTTTTCCTCTGTTCAGCATCTGTGAGACCCTCTTTGCTTACTTGGTCCAGTCAGAGCTGACCAGTACAAGATAGACATTAGTATACTGGAATAAGTCCAGCGTAGACCACCGAGCTGGTCAGATTTGGAGAACAGGACATAGGGGGATAGGGTAAGAGGGCTTGTTCATCCTTGAGAAGGGGAGACCTTTCAGC